TCCAAAGTTCAGAAGAAGATAAGTGGAGGATTGCCATGAATGATGAAATACAGTCCCTTCATCAGAATCATACATGGAGATTGGCCAATCTCCCGAAGGGAAAGAAAGCAATTGGGTGCAAATGGGTATTTGCAAAGAAAGAAGGATTTCCTAACCAAGAAGATGTTCGCTACAAAGCAAGATTGGTGGCCAAAGGATATGCTCAAAAGGAGGGAATTTATCACAATGAAGTGTTCTCTCCAGTTGTAAAACATTCCTCTACTAAAATTATATTGGCTTTGGTAGCACAGTTGGATTTGGAACTAGTTCAGATGGACGTAAAAACTGCGTTTTTACATGGAAACTTGGAGGAGGAAATCTACATGACTCAGCCAAAAGGATTCAAAGTTGCTGGAAAGGAAAATATGGTGTGCAAACTTGAAAAATCGTTATACGGATTGAAACAATCTTCTAGACAACGGTACAAACGATTTGACAAGTTTATGTTGCGGCAAGGGTACAAGAAAAGCAAATACGATCATTGTGTGTATTTGCGCAAGCTTAAAGATGGTTCCTTTATATATCTTCTCCTATATGTTGATGATATGTTAATAGCTTCCAAGAATTCGAAAGAAATTGATAAGCTGAAGATTCAACTAAAGAAGGAGTTCGAGATGAAGGATCTGGGTGAGGTAAAGAAAATTCTTGGCATGGAGATAATAAGAGATAGACGTTCAAAGAAACTCAGTTTATCTTAGAAAGAATATTTGAAAAGAGTACTACTATGTCGCCAAAAGATGAAGCTGAACAAGAGTATGTGTCAAGGGTACCATACGTAAATGTTGTTGGTAGCTTGATGTATGCAATGGTCTGTACGAGATCTGACATTTCACAAGCTGTTGGAGTTATTAGCAGATATATGCATAATCTAGGAAAGGAGCATTGACAAGCTGTAAAGTGGATTCTACGGTATATTCATAATACTGTAGATGTTGGGTTAGTTTTTGAGCAGGAAGGCAATCAATCTGTAGTTGGATATTGTGACTCAGATTTTGCGGGTGATCTGGACAAACGAAGATCAACTACTGGTTATGTGTTTACTTTTGCAAAGGCACCAGTTAGTTGGAAGTCTACTTTGCAGTCAACAGTTGCTTTGTCTACAATAGAGACAGAGTACATGACTATTACAGAAGCTGTGAAGGAAGCAATTTGACTTCAGGGATTGCTAAAGGAGCTTGGTATTGGAAAAAAAAAGTATCACAATTTTTTGTGATAGTCAAAGTGATATTCATTAGCGAAGAACCAAGTTTATCATGCCAGGACAAAGCACATTGATGTTCGGTATCATTTCGTACGAGAAATCATAGAAGAAGGTGGAGTCACGATGAAGAAAATTCATACTACGGAGAATCCTGCTGATATGCTGACAAAGGTGGTGACTGCGGTCAAGTTTCAACATTGTTTGGATTTGATCAACATTGTTGAACACTGAAGATTGAAGATGAAGACACAACCAAAAATTTTTATTGGGAGAAAATTGAAGATGTGGAATTTTGCCAAGGTGGAGATTTGTTGAAAATGTCAAAAGTCCCACATCGGTGGGTGACATATTTGGTTGGGATGTTTTCCCTATAAAAAGAGGCCTAATGTTTAGGATTTAAACACACATCTCATTTGCTTTCTTATCTTCTTAAGGCATTTGTATCTTCTCACTTTAGTATTATTTCACTTGTATTTTTGGAGTGGAATAAAATATTGGTTGTGTCCGAGGAAGTAGGCAAAATTAGCTGAATCTCGTAAATTCTGGTGTTCATTTTATTGTTGCTTTATTATCTTATTTATTATTTGGCGGCTGTCATAATTTTTGAAATAGTAGTTGTGACTCATTCACACTATATACATTTGGCTTCCACAACACTATCTACGGCTAGAATGCGTATTCTGATGAATAGGGATTCATCTAAATATTTGCTCTAATGTCGTGCTTATTACTCTATTTTGAACCTCTACTGGAGATATGCGATCTGTTAATCCATTATATTATTCAAGTGTGTGCATACCGAAACGAAGAAGATTCACATAATCTTTTTGAGCCGGAGATTACTAATTTTTTGATTAATAGATTGATATCTTTAAGTAATCGGGAAAAAATCCATTCCAGTTGGGCCATGATTTAAATAATGAAAGGGGATACAGATTATGGCTGTCCAACGGGACGGAATGTGACCAAATTAACGGGACGGCACGGGACGACATTTAAGCGGGATGGTAGCGGGACGGGACGAAACGGGACGGGACAAACGGGATGAAACGGTCGGCCCATTCCATCCCGCTAACAAACAGGATGGGATGGGACGGAATGAGACGGGACGGGACGGGTTCGCGAGTCTTAAGTGTAGTTTTTTTTAATAAAAAAAACGTCTAATTTTTTGAAAATGACTAAGTTTTAAAAGTTTACAATGGCTAGTTTTTTTGACTTATTTAATAAACTTAAATGTTAAAAAGAAAATTAGAAAACTAAGTAAAGAATTATAAAATATTAAAACAATAGACTTGTAATGAAATATTCTAGTAATTGTAAATTTAAAATAGAGTTATAATTTTTTTAATATAATTTCAAGGTATTAAGTAACTAAGACAATTCATAAAAAAAAAATTCAACGCTTAGAGCCTGTTATTTTATTAATAGAACTTTAAAATCTCACATACGAATATAATTCTTTTGAAGAGCACCTATTCTACACAGCCATCTTCTAGGAAGGTTTCTGTTTGAATTAGGCCTCTATGATCTCCGATTTAAAATATTGTTGCGCTAAAAGCATTCTACGATGCTAAGAATCAAGTTCATCATCAATAGAGGAATCAAAACATGTTATATAATTCATATTTTCCTATAGAACTTCTACTCTAGACTTAGAAGTAGAAGGAGCAGTTTCACCACCTGTTATTTCCATAGATTTATATTTATCAAACATTGATCTAGATTCTAGCACAAGAATATATGTTAGCTTGGAAGTCTTCGAGAGATGGTTGTTCATTTTCTTGAATTGCTAAATTTTGATATATTTCGAACAAGTCCCTTTGTACCTCTTATTTTTAAATATGGTTTAAGTATTGTAGAAATTAAATAAACTTGGGGAATAGAGAAAAAATACATTTTAAATTTTGCAATCATTTCATTAATGGCCGGTGCATAAGTTGAATTTGTTTTATACTTACCAAATACAACAAAAATTCCACAAATATACTATAAAAACTCGCGGGACAGGCAGGACAGATGGGACGAGACGGAATGGGATGGGACGGGACAAGCGGGACGAGACGAAACGGGACGAAATGAGACGGGACGAAATGGTTGTCCCGTTTAACATTGACCCATCCCTCTTAAAATAAAGTGGGACGGGACGGGACGGGACGCGGGACGAAATCGGGACGGGCCGGGACCTGGACGCGCCGTCCCGTCCCGTTGGACAGCCATAATACAGATCGATACAATTTCAATAATTTTGAGTCAACGATTGAGAAGTTCTCTACACGTCTCACTTTCAGTTTTGCTCTTTTTTGATAAAACACTCAAAGAATTATACATATTTTATCTTCAGGTTGTGGAGAAGTAGCGGAGAGCTTCTTCTAAAATAATCAGAGTAAATAAGAACGACAAAGAGAATGCTAGAAGCTGATGTGAATTAAATAAATAGCAAATCTAAATCTACAGATCAGATTGTTGGTTAATCCATCAGCAGAATATTAATTAAATCTTATACTTCTATGCTGATTATTTAATCAACGTATATTTCATGTCTCTCACTTTATATTTATATACATATATCCACAAGACACAGCTCTTTTTAAAAACGTCAGGGCGGCTCAAGTATATACGAGGCGTAAAACTAAAATTTAATATGAGATTTAAATTTTTAAAAGAAAGTTATACGATATGGTTTTATTTAAAGTCTATTTTTCTAGCTTTCTGAGATACAAAATGTTAATAATCTTTCAATAGTCGATTTTCCCTAATAAGTCATTTTTAATTGATAATATAGCCAACTCATATGATCTTTCTTGAGATATTGTTAATTTTAGATAAGATTTTATAGAGGAATAGAAGTATAGAATTATTGGAAGCTTAAATTTCTTGGAGAAAGAAGGTGAGTAAGAATATTAAAGAGAAAGATAGAAAATATGTAGGGTTTTTGAAATACGAAGAGATCGGGAAAAGAAAGATTGACTTGGACAAAGAAAGGAAGAGTAAATTTTTTACACGTTATCTAATGAAGGAGTAAGAAGTGAAAAATTGAAATGTTGGGAAAGCTATTCATCTACCCATGTTTAAGTAAGTCAAATTATTACTTTATTTATGTATCTAAAGAATTTTCTTTCTTTTTATATTAAAAACTCTACTTTTGTATTAAAAGTACTAAATATATTTTTTAAATACCTATAAACTTATTACTTTTTTAAAAAAGGGCCCTAAAATTTGGGGGCCTAAGGCACAAGCCTTACTACTCAACACATTGAGCCGGCCTGGTCCAGAGACACTAAGGAAAAATTAAAGTTTTGATTTATTACTCCCTCCGGGCTCCGGTCCATTTTAAATTATTTTTTTTGGCTCTTTTCACACATATTAACCAAATTTCCCTTTTAACATTAATTAACAATGAAATTGACCATATTAACCTTAATTTGCTCATTGAAAATATAACAAACTACTCATACGCTTTTTATTCCAAAGATAACTTTGGAAAAAAGAAATTAATTTCTTCTTGATATCTGAAAAAAACAAATATTGTGGACTACGAAAAAAGCCAAAATATCGCTTAAAGTGGGGACTAGAGAGAGTATTAAAAGATAAAAAGAACATCATAATGGTGCACCATCTCCCGTAGACTAATAGAGAGAAAAACAAACACTTGATACATCACTATAATATATAAGCAGATGAAAGTACTTAATGTTTGTATAATTGAGTGCAACGACCTAACAGACAAAAATAACCAGAAATTTAACTAAAGTAATTAGCCATGGAAGGAAAGATTGAGATAGTTTCTGTGGAGCTCGTTAAACCTCTTTCTCCTACTCCCAATCACCTTAGATGCTTCGAATTTTCTCTTCTGGACCAAATGGCTGTAGACATGTCTGTTCCCTTAGATCTCTTCTATCCTCCTCCCTTACATAGCGTCGAATCATCAAGATTACTCCTTTTGAAGAAATCTTTGTCTGAAATTCTTGTTTTACCCTTTTGCTGGCGCGAATTAAGGATAACTCAGTTGAATGCAACGACGATGGAGTACCTTTTTACGAGGCTTTTGCTCATAACTATCGATTGGAAAATGTTCTTAGAAAGCCTGCATATGTCAACCAAAAGTTCCTCCCAACTACTGTAGAAGAGGGATCATTGATGCCTGATTCAGCCTTATATCCCCTACTTGTTCAAGTCACTATTTTTGAGTGCGGAGGTATGGCTATTGGTATACGTGCTTCTCACAAAGTTGCTGATTGTGCCACATTGTGCACTCTCATCAATGCCTGGTCAACAATTGCTCGAGGTAACATTGAAGTCGTTGTGCCAGAATTCGTTGCGGCTGCAAAATTCCCCATGTTCAATCCAAGCCTATGAAATTTGACGTACCCAAAGATCTTTTTGATAAGAAACTTGTCGCTAAATTTATTGCCTTTGATGCTTCTACTATAACATCCCTCAAGGCTAAGGTTGTCAGTGATTCTGTACAAATGCCTACTCGCGTTGAAGTTGTATCAGCTGTGATATGGAAATGTGCCATGGTCGCTTCAGGGAACGAGACAAGGTTATCCAAATTGGTGCACAACGTAAATATACGAAAGCGTCTTGTCCCTCCACTGCCAAACCATTGTGTAGGAAACGTTGTTACACCTGCCACAGCATGTAAAGGCTAGAATGATGGCTCTGACTTGCCCACTTTGGCCACTTGTATAAGAAGAGTATTATCAGAAATAAGTTCCACATATATGGATTATAAACAGAGTCGAGATGAGGCAATATTGGCTATTCCCTATGACAGCGCAGAGTTCTTTGCAGCATGTTCCCGAGGCGAGATAGATATACATACTATTAGTTTGTGTAGCTACCAATTTTACGATGTTGATTTTGGCTGGGGAAAACCTTCATGGGTAAGCTTAATTCGATCTTTTGGCGTAGGTACTGTTATATTGATGGATTCAAGAGATAGTGGCGGAGTAGACGCATGGGTATACTTGAAAGACAAAGACAATATGTTAGTTTTTNGTAGAGACCAACTTTGGTCGCTTTTCTGTGTATTATTTTGGCAGAAACTGTCTGTTTTTGCAGCTACACCACCTGCAAGCCATACCAATTTCCTAAATAGGCATTTTATGCCAACAACAACAACAATAAAAAGCAATTAAANACTAGCATTTGGATCTGCCAAATAATTGAAGAGCTTGCTGCATCAACTTAAATTGTTATTGCTTTAGTTCCTTTGTTGTTTCTGTTTATGGGTGGCATTCGTATTTGTGTTTCCGGTTTTTATATTTTGTGCATGTCTTTTGGATATACTAGTCTATAGTACGTGTGTGTATCAATATCTAGGAATATAAAGTTTAAAAAATTACATGAAATCTGGAGATTGATTTGCAAATTATTTTATTAATAGATTGAAATCTGTAAGTAAGCGGGGAGAAAATTCCATTCCAGTTGGCCATGCTTCAAATTATAAAAGCAGATACAGATCAAGACAGTTTCAATAACTTTGAGTCAACGATATATGTACTTTCCGTAAATTTCAATTTTTTTTTTTTTTGGTGAAACAGAAAGATTTAATTCACAAATAAACAAAGCTCTTTACAATTTTCCCCTCATTCCCCGTATTTGCCTCTATCTTTCTATATCATTCCTATACTTTCCTTTACTCATTTTTCAAAATTTCCTATACAGTTTATCTATCCATTCTCTCTCCTTTCTACTGCATTTTTTTGTTTAACATGGGTACTATTCTAGCCTTACATTCTTGCTGTATTTGTACACATATGCTTCTTGGTGATGGTCAACTTTGATTCCATAGCGCTTCATTTCTAGCCCACCATATCTTGTATATTAGTGCTGCAATCACTGATGTAGCAAACACTACTAGAATTCTGGGAAAAAGAGACCGCAAAAAGCGATCAACTTTGGTCGCTTTTTGGCTAAATAGTGACCAAAATGCGACCAAAAGTGCCTGGTAGCTATATTGATGGTCCTTTTTATTTAGGGACCAAAGTTGGTCGCTAATTAGCGACCAACTTTGATCTCTAAGCTAAATGGACCCATTTTTCCGGATATTGACTATAGAGACCAACTTTGGTCGCTTTATTAATTTAATAATATAAATTTAGCGACCAAAGTTGGTCTCTAAATAAAAAATACATTATTTATTTATTTATTATTAATCACTAAAAAGCGATCAACTTTGGTCTCTAAACCAAATATTATATTTTAAAATCTGGAAACTAGAGA